TCTGCTCCCCACTCTGTCTCTGGTGAATCCTCTCACCACCCCTGCACCTATAGCCTGTACCCCAGTTCTGTATGCATAAATAAAATAAATCTTTAAAAATAAATAAATAAAACTATAAGACTATACAGGATGGAGTAAATTATGATTTCCATGCATAAGATTGGCTATGTAGAAGCTCAAGAAAATTGATAGAAATAAATTTAGACTCATTAAATTCTTCATTACTATTTTAGATCTTTTACCTTCTTCTTAAAGTTCTAACTTTTTCCCTTTTCACCTTTAGGCTTTTAATCTTCTTGTAATTGGCTCTGAGATATGATGTCACCTAGGAATATGGACGTTTGACTTTGACTCCATTAAGATGTTAAATTTCTGTTCATTAAGAGCATAAAATAGGTGAACACAGCCTCTTAACACTAGAAGATAGGCGCAACGCAGGTGATAAAAACAACTGGAATTCAGGATAATGCATACGAAACTTGTACACGTCGAAGTGAGTTGGAAAGAAGTCACTCATGAAGTTATATTCCTGAAATGTGTGCATCATTAGGAAGTAGCAGGTCTAAAATTTAAGGGGGAAAAAAAAGACCTCTGGGACTGGAAAATTTTTATAAAGAAGGTGAAGTGACAAGTGCAAAGACGGGCAGAGGAAGGCCCAGAGCCAGCCCCTCCTCTGGCAGGCAGGCCGTTTCCCTCCCAATGCAAACTGAACTCCACCTCCCAGCACCCCTTGGGGTGCTGCAGCCCCATCCTGCTCTTTTCCAAATGTCCGGTGGCTCCCCTCTGCCTGTGTGAGCACCAATGCCTCCTCTGGCTCCCTAAGCTTGTTGTTTAAAGAGCAGCGAGTTCTCTAACAGGCCTTCCAGTTGGAGTGGAGCCGTCACCCCACTGCATCTGGGCCTACCTGCAGCTGACTGGAGCAACAGAGAGTAGCCCAACGCAGGCCGCTTGGCTCTCGGCCTGGCGGGCACAGGACTGCAGCCCCACCTTGGTCTCTGACATCCCTGAGCCCAGTTCCCATCAGAGACCACCAGAGAGAAACTCGAAACCGTGACAGGGAGAGGACGCAGGTAAGCATCTTTACCAAGACACCCGTATGTCGGCACAGCCATCTTAGACCCTCAGATTAAACTCTCTATCAAGCAATCTTGGTCAACACCAGGTAGACCAGAAGAACCCCCCAGCCATGACCTGTCCAAATGCCTAACCCATAAGCCAGGAGGCTTAACAAAACGACTGTTTTTTTAAGTAAATCTGTTGTGTAGTTATCTTTGCAGAGACAGACAAATGGAGAGGAAAACTGGGGCTGGGGCAACTTTAGGCAAGCCGGCGTATAAGCGACCCTAGTTCCAAATGTCTCCGTCCTCTGCTGTTATAGGCAATATTTCATTTTCTAAAATGTCAGAAGACATTTGTTCAAAGACAAAGAATTAGAACAAAAATATTTTGCTAGAAGGGCAATGATGAGTAGGAAGAAAAGGATCTCGGGAATTCAGAGTTGAAAGACACTTGGTGATCAAGGACATCCACATCACCTTCTTGTTGTTAAAACATTACCTAGCAATTGTTATGTTCAGCAAGTTTGAACAAAAGGATGAATGAATAAAATTAATCTCCACTTAGTGAAATGCCTTATGTAGACTGTTTCACAATCCACGCGTTTGGAGTCAGGTTTTGAAAGAGAACGTGGCTATTACCTTTCATCCCAAAAGTAAGTCTGACAACAACAACTTCAAGTGAAAAAGCAGTCTCTGGAATTCCTATGACCCAGATTTTGGAGATGCCCACGACATGGCACAGTGAGTGTGCAGAGACTCGCCTTGGAGAACCTTAGACATCCTAGTCTAAAGTCACGTTTACCAGAGTGTAGTAGAGTTCCTGGCACGTGGTGGGTGGTCACTTGTTTAATGAATTAATCTATCTGAGCACTCTCATTTCCTGGTGAGGATTTCACAGTTTGTAAGGAAGAGTGATTAGTGATCAAGTCAGTCCAGAAGCAAAGCCAAACTAGAACCTATCACCCTGGATCCCAACATGACGTGACACGATGCAGTCAGATGTAACATGACCAGTTCAAGGCATCAAACATAAACTTATTCCTGTATCTGTGGCTGGCTCACTGCTTTTCCCTGGGCAAAGGACGGGACCTCGATACACAGGCTAATGTTGAGGGTGGAGTCTCACAAGGATGTCAGCAAAATGGAGTAAACTTGCTGAAATGGCACAACATTTGACCCTCTAGACACTTAATGATGACAAATTGGAATTTGGAAAAAGACATAATGAGCCAATAAATAAATAATAGATTGACCCATTAGACACTTAGTAATGACAAACTGGAATTGGAAAAAGATAATGAGCCAATAAATAAATAATAGATATGTGTGTTTGCCATCAAAGATGACAAGTTTCCAACAAGAAATGTGGTAACCTCCCAAACAAATGTCATCATAAAGGTCACTATTATGATGATCCACAAAAAACACATGAATGCAAATTGTTTTCAGTTTAACCATTTTGCTACGTAGTATGTAGTTTAAGTGTGTATTCCTGTTCTTCCATGTTATAAAATACATTCTAATCCTGAAAATCAATTAAAAATGATTACCTATCATTTCTTTCTGGAGCTGAATACCTAATGTTTAAACTAAAATCTCCGCTCCCTGCCATCAACAGATCCTTCGACTCCAATTTCTGAAATTGTACATTAAAAGCTTAACCAGGAACAAAGAAAGCAAAGTGCTCTTTTAAGATGGAGATGAGTTTCAGGTCCAGGTGGAGAGCTCTCTCCAGAATCTGCATGGGATCTAATTGCAACCACAGAAACCCAAAGAAGGCTACATAGGATTGATCTTAGAATAAAATATTTGAACATTACCCAATACAGAGTAATGAAAGCTGTAGGACTTGAGTTAAGTAGAAGTACAATGGATGTAGGATCTTCAATGGGAGTTTCAACCACCATGTCATGGAATTCAGAGGAGACGCTCTGCGCTACTGCAGGGATCCTAACATGAGGCAATGGTGGCCCAGCGTGACGGCCATGTGAATGGGAAGAGAGGACTTATTCTGGGAAATAGTATTAAGGAAAATAGTTCAAATACATGAGATAATGGCCCAGAGGATTAAAGTTCAACAACTGTTCTGTTGTGTCTGCCTGAGAGACCAAAAGGGTCCTAGAATAGAAGATGGTTGGGGTGTGAAGGCAGGTTGGGTGAAGAGTGGTAGGTTCTGCTAACAAGATGGCGAGATGTCCATGAGGGTGCCTTGAAGCAGCTGCCACCCCAGAACCAAAACTCAGGACTAGAGATGTAACGGCCCACACCGAGGCCTCCTGGAGATCACTCCTTTGAGTCAGTCTCCCAAGGGTCCTCAGGATGGCTTGATACGTTCCTTTGTCTTATCCTGGATCTCCACCCCCTCATTATTGGAAGCAAGAAACAATGGAATGTACAATAAACAACCACCTGCAGGAAAATTTGTGGTATTAGTTCTTTATAAGTGACCATGGAGAAGGGATGATAATGTGGAGAAGTGATGGCCACACCCCTGAAGCACTATGCCCAGTCTGGGGTCACGTTCCTAATTCCTAATTCCACTGTTCTCCACAGGGCTGTGCACTGCCCATAACATATATGTTATAAAAGCTATAACATGCACATCAGGGGCCAGAGACCGAGCCACTCAACAAGAGTCCCCATTGGCATGTAACACCAGGGACAGTTAAAACACCCCATGAAACCCTGAAGACAGACCTATGAACAAGCAGGTCAGTGATGGTGCTCCCAGGGCATTGCTCTGAGTTAACCATAACAGAGCAATGAATGAATGGGAAGGTCAAAGATTACTTCAGTTGGGCAGAACATGGTGACAAAAGCAAAGGTCATTTATTGAACTACAATCTTGATACCATGGAATTTATTAAAGGCAGCTGGTCAGGCCACTGGGCTTGTTCTACTCAGGGATCTCGTGACCCTTACCTATCTGCCTGATCGGACTTCTCGCTCATGTGGCTTCCACGCAGCCTCTGCACTTCCTGTGCAGTTTTTCCCCATCACTCTGCTCCAAACTGCAATTCCTGGGCATTTTATCTACTGCAAGCTATTTTTCTGGTCCTGGTTCCACTACCCCAGTCTGTCCCATCCTACCACTGACCTTTCAGCTCTTCTCTCTTTGCTGCCGTAATTAATTTCTGGCTCAGCATCTAGCCATTCCATCAAGTCCAATGGCCCATGTCATAGCAATACCCGCTTTCTACTGTTACATCTCAAAGACTTGGTCCAGCTCATGAGCTCAACTGTGACCCCAGAAAAGATATGTTGAATTCCACATTCTCAGGACCTCAGAATTTATCTTACTTGGGAAAAAAGCTGCTGCAGATGCAATTAGCTAAGAGCTCATTCTGGAGTAGGGTGGGCCTAACCCACATGACCTGTGTCCTTACAACAGTGGGAAACCAGCACACACACACACACACACACACACACACACACACACACATAGAACACTGTGTGAAAACAGGCACAGGTTGGAGTGGAGCCTCTGAGCAAAGTCAGGGATTGATGGTCACTGCCAGAAGAAGCTCAGAGAGAGGCGTAGAACAAATTATGCCTCAGCCAAGACCTCGATTTTGGATTTCTGCCCTCCAGAAGTATGGGGGGGAAAGTATGGATGCAAAAAGAGAACCTTTAGGCAAGCCAAAAAGCCACTCAAGAATATCACAGATCCATGCAGCCCCCTCCCCACAAGGTGCACACACAGTGGGTGTGCAGGCTTATGCATGCCACACACTAAGGCCCCCCTGTGTCTGACCCAGGTCTGCCTCTTGTGCCAGCGGACGCATTTGGTGCCCATTCATCCTCAGCGTGAAAAGTGAGTGATCGGTGTGTGCAGCACTTTGTTATCATAGTATCCACTTGGACTTCAGCTGATCGTCACCGAACATCTCTCTCAAGTCACTCCGCAGAGGACTGCACTATCTTTAATCAAGTATTTATGACCTTCTTCCTTGTAGAACACAGCTCTTGTGTGTTCTTATCTTAAATAATGTGTTGTGCACGTGTATGGCTTTTTATTGTAGCCCCTAGACAACCTTTGGAATTGGGAAAGGAGAGAGACAGGCCAAGAGAAAGCAAGAAATAGAAACAGTCATAGAGTGTCAGCGAGCCCAGAAGCAAGGAGATATCGATTTTTAGCATAAGTCAGTCCCAAAACTGCATGAGACATACTGATACTAAAAACTTAGTCATTGCTTATCTGAATTCCAAGTTTATGGGCAGCCCGTACTTTTATTTATTGAATCTGTTGCCCAACAGTCACTCCCAGCTCCTCCCCTCTCAGAGTTGCACCGTCCTACGAGCATGGAAGCAGGACTCACCGTCCTGAACCAAGTGGTATCATGCAAACAACTCTCTGAGAGTGACAAAGGGAAAATTAAGCTACCCAATGTCAAAAACTCTTAGGTGAACGTAAGATCCATAACTCAAACCTTTGTTGGTGTTTTTTCTGGGATGCAGTTTATCCGTTCTGCTTCTGGTATCCCTGAGCACTCAGCATCTGTGAGAATCCCAAAAGCAAACATAAAATGACTCTCAGTCAAGTTTACTATCAAACATTCAATATCCCCACAGTTCTCAACACCTCCTATTAAAAGGACACAGCTTCTGATCAAACCTCATGCTGATGATGTACTTGAAATTTATAAATTCACTCTAGAAGGTCTCACTGTTCTCACTGACTGTATTACCTCTGTGTAAACCTGTACCATCTCCTTCTACCTCCACGGACCTTGCTAGGAGACAGTTTGTTCAAGAACAAGAGTTTGGCCATGAGAGTGGGAATTCACAAGGTGGGGTCCAGGTTAATGTTCTCTAGGGCTGGAAGTCAGCCAAGTAGGACCTGTGGACCGAATTGGTGACAATCTGATTTTTAAATAAAATATTCCTGGAGCACAGCCATGCCAGGTTTGTTAAGTATCGTCTATAGATGCTTTTGTGCTCTCATGGCAGAATTAAGTAGTTAGGACAGATACCATGTGGCCAAACGGCTGAACCAACCCCACAGATTTGAACAAAATCTCAAGTATGTATCCAGCTTTTACAGTCCATAAACTCTGTTTGAATTTCACCACCACTCCCTGCAGTGAGTCACAGTTTGCACACAGAATTCATGCAGCACATGCTGTTAGTCTTGAAAGTTACCTCCCTGACCAGACCCTAGTGTACAGTGTGGTCTCCAGACATGTCTAGAAGAGCTAACATTCACCTCTTGACTTTTATTCAGATTTTAAAATCAGTCAAATAAAAAGGGCCTATGTATTGCATTCTAAAATAAGGATGTGTGATTTCTTTTTTCTTAATTTAATAGAATTGTTTTTTTTTTCTCAGTGTTTGCTTTCTTTTCTCAGGTATATCCCCACAGAATTCCCACCACCAGTTCACCCATGCACCATCACCACAGTCCTTACGTTCCTCCCTCTCCCTCTCCATCCCTCCCCCTCCTACCCACACCCCCCACCCCCGTGGAATGGCTATGATTTATAGTTGCCTGTTTGCTTTTGTTTTGCTGTGTGGTTTTTTATAATTGTTATTATATTTTCCCTGATCCCCTCTGGTTCCCCTATGTGCCTCCCATAAGTGAAACCATCCAATATTTTTCTTTTTCCTTCTGACTTATGTCACTGAGCACGATCCCTTCTAGCTCCATCCACGTTGCTGCGAATGGCGTGAGTTTGTCTTTTCTGAGTGCTGAGTAGTTTGGAAGTGAGATTTCTTTAAGGCACGCTAGAATAAGTTCACAACCACACTGAGGCTTTAGTGCCTCTTTCTTTGCATTAGGGTTTCCAATTGAAAACTGCGGATTAAAAGAAGCCCATACTTGTGCCACTTTCTGCATAAAAGATTTAATTCCATCTTCAGGGTTGTAGAAATGAACAACTTTTGAACTCTTTAACTCCCCAAAATGTAAACCTGGCATTACTGAATGAGGAGGTAAGCAGGGCTGGGTGATTCCCTCTGGCTCACATTACCTGGCTCTTCCATGAAGCTTCTCCTGAGGGGCACCAGCTAAATCAGGGTAACTCAGCAAGACTCAGCCCCTCTTTGACAGTGTAATAACAATTCAATAAACTTTAAATAAAAAGGGGGGGAACGCTTAGTTTCAAACTTTGGCTAAAAAGACTTGATTCTATAATTATCTGTTTATCTGATTCTATAATTATCTGATTTATTGTTGCCTGTTCATTTTGTATTTTTTGGTTGTTATTATATTTTCCCAGATCTTTTATTTGGTTCTAGAAGGCAACTATAAATCAGATAACTAACCTTATCATGGTAATTTTAGTTCTTATTGCTGACAAGTTAGAATTATTTAATGAAATTTGGCCAGTAGATTTCAAATGTTCCATAGCGGATGGCCAGTAGACTCCTACACTCTAGTAACTTGGAAAGGAAAGTGTCAGAACTTAGGCCTAAGTGAATCTCCATTGCACTGTCCTGGTGTTAGTTAGGAGCTCCCCAACATACTTACCACCCCCAGGCTTGCACACACTCACACACACACACTCGCAAGCACACTCACTCACACACACATGCACACACACAACCCACGCGGGCACACAAGCACCTGCATGGCCACAGCCACATGTGAGCATGCATTCATATGGCCCACATATGCACACAAGCATGCTTCTGCTCATATTCATGTCCACACAGGCAGCCACTCATATAGCCGTGTGTGCACAGACACACATGCACACTCACAACCCGTGTGTGTGTGTGCATACCTGTGTGCAGACACACATGCACACTCACAACCCATGTGTGTGTGCACATGCTCATACACCCACACCCACCCTCATCAGATTCACACACACTCGCACCAGGGCACATGGAAGCGTGCCTCCCCGTGTGGAGGAAGGGCCTGCCCCAAGGAGCGTTGTGCCAGAGGGGACCAATGGAGTACCTGTTCCAGAGTTATTCTGGGCGGAAAGCACAATCAGCGGGATCGTGGTAATAAACAACATAAGCAGGAGAGCACAGAGCATGAGCTCCAGGTTAGTGAAATCTTTCAGCTTCCTTCTTGCCATCTATTAAGAAAAGAGAAAACAATTTTAGATTTGAGTTTCACCAGCAGTGAGAAGTTTTTAAAAGGAAAAGCTCAGGGCCCTCCCTGGTGGCACAGTGGGTCAAAGCACAGCACAAAGAAGCTAAAGCCAACTTCAGCAGAGTTCAATCCCTGCCTGCCCCGGAGCTGGCTCACAGGGCACAGCAGACCTCTCCCGACCCACCCACTGCTTCCCTCAGCAGTGTGCTTCATCGATCTTCCTGCTCTGCTCCCCTCTCTGCCTCAGGGGAAGCCTCTCACCACCCCTGCACCTCTGGCTTGTACCCCAGCTCTATCTGCATAAATAAATAAATCTTTAAAAAAAAAAAAAAGGAAAAGCTCAAACGCATACACGAGTAGAGTGAATCACATGCACCCAAAGCGACCGACCCGTGAGCGACCTGTTTTGTTTTCCTCCCTGCTCACTTCTCTCCTCACCCCACCATTGCTGTTTATTGAAATGTCGTTTCTTCACTGCAGACAATACCTCCTCGGGACTGAAAATTAGTTATCCCCTTTTATTAATAACTGAGGTGATGCTCACAGTGATGGCACTGTGTGGCTTAGGGCAGGCTGTATTATCTCACTGCCCACCCACCCCAGCCAGTCTGCTCCCCACTAACTTGAAGGTGTCAGAGGCCAGTGAGGAAGTGTCTTGCCTCGCCGTGAGCTATTCCTCAGCCTGAGAGCTTGAGACACCAATTCGCTCAGTCCTGGGGCCACTGGGGGCACAGGCTGCGGTTCCTTTGCTGGGAGTGAAAACCAAGGGCCCATTCGATGGGTCTAAGGATGCCACCGTTGTTTTCCTGAAGCTCCATGCTGTGAAAAATGCCACCCTGGGTGCTCACCTCCCCCAGCAGGTGCTATTTGGGGATACAACAGTAGAAACACCTGTGCCCGGGCCTTGTATCCTCAAGGCACCTGCATGCCCCCATCCCTCTTTCCCTGGAAGGAAGGGGAGGATGAGACACCTCAGGGCGCCTCCTTTCAGGAAGCTTACCCATCACTGTGGGAGCGTAAGTGAAAAAAAAACAAGAAAATTTGGAGTTAAAAAACATAATAGATCACAGGCCAATCACTTAGTTTAGGATCCACATCGAACTTTTCATACCAAGTATCTCTGAAGTATGAAAAAGTGGTACATGGAAGTTTTTCAGAATCTCCACCTCGTCCACATGACCTTCCCAATATTTCTCACTTTCTTTTTTTAGGGTTTATCTGTGCAGACAGAACTGGGGTCCAGGACAGAGGTGCAGGGGGCCAGTGAGAGGATTCCCCAGAGACAGAGTGGGGAGCAGGACAGGCAGATTGATTGAAATACACTGCTGAGGGGAGCAGCGGGCGGGTCAGGAGAGGGTTGCTGCACCGTGTGGGTCAGCTCACAGGCCGAGGGCCAGCAATATTTCTCACTCAAATGAGTAACGGCCTGCGTGTTTAAAAAGAAATCACTGAATGCCCTCCCTGATGGCGCAATGGGTTAATGCGCAGCACCAGGGAGCTCACGGCAGCAGCTTCACCGCGTGAAGCCCGGGCCAGAAAGTAGGAGAAAGTTAGAAGGGGAAATAAAACCATGTCTTTAGGGGGTGAGGGGGGATGGGTGGCCCCTGTGAAAGTCTTCAATGCAGAACGCCCACCATCAAAGCATCCCACGCGACACTCCTGAGGTTTAACAAGACCTCTTCGTCCCCCTGTGAGCGCCCAGGAGATGAGAAGGATGCCTTTGCCTTCCCGCTCTGGACTTCCTAAGTGCCTCTGAGCAGAGTTTGTTTAATAAATACCTATTAACTGATAATATTTTACTCCCCAATTAAATATTTACAAATATCTGGATAGAATATCCTGATTAGATTACACCAGGAGAGCACTGTTGGGGATAAAATGATCTCAGCCCTGAGGAAGCTTAAAGTCCAAAGGGTTACTCCTTCTACACAGTAAAAGCACCGAGAGGAAAGGGCACTGTTTCTTAGCAGAAGACCTGAATTTTATCCTTGATTCTGAAAATAACTAGCCAGATGTCCGTGGGAAAGGTCCTGAAACTTTCTGGTTCTCACTGTTCTCGTGTATGAAGCAAAGAGGTTAAACTAGAAACTGTCAAATTCACGACAATTTTTAATATGTCGTTTTTGAGTCTTTGTTCCTCCCTTCTCAAAGGATGCCCACACCCACCACATGTCAGGATTTTCCTCCTTCCTCTACCCTCAAGTTGTCCTTCCCTGCATGAGAATCTGCCTGCTGGGGTGTGAGCACTGAGTTTGGCTCCCAGCCCTCTCATTTCTTGCTATGGTGACCAAAGGAGTTTACAAAACAATCTTGAGTCTCGGTTTTCTTGTTTGTAAAAATGGAACTGATAATGTCAATTATTCTTGTCATCTAATGTCACCTTACTGCAGGAATCCAAAAAAACACCTGAACGGATAAAGTGTCACTAGCATTATGTTGTAGTTTACAGGCGAGAACACAGGCGGTGGGTCCCAGGTGAGGAACAGCACCTCCTCAGAAAGACTTCACAATGTGGACCTCCAAATCTCTCAGTGTTTTGTGAAGAGGCAGTCACCTGAGACAGAGCACAGAAAGTGAGGAAGACCCAGCTCACCAAGGTGGTGAGCTGTGGCCTTGCCAATTCCAAGCCTGCTGTCCCCACCCTCCAACCACAGCTCTTCTCCAGGCTGCTAGGGAAACCCCACCATCTTTACCTCAAGAGCACTCCCCTTCCCGCCTGCCTCAGGTCTTAATTCCATGTCCCCATTTGGAAGCCAGTAACCTCAGCTCAATTGCACTGTCTATAATTCCTGTGACCTCATTGTCCCCCAGGAAATATGGCCTCAGTCACCACATTTTCTTCAAGCAAAAGATGCTTCCTCAGCCTTTGCTCAAGGATTAAATGCCAAGAGGACTTCCTTCTCGCCCACTGATGGGAAACTGCTATTTGTCAAAGTAAGATCCCTTTATAGGCAGGAGGAAAGGGGAATCGCCTCTCACGGGCATTGCTGGTTTTCCAAAGGTAAGAAGTATCTAACTAGAATCTTCTTCGCCTGTCCTATCCTTAATAGCTCACATTCCCAAAGGTTTTATAAAATATCCCATAATGTTAATCATGCATATAAAATTCCATGAATATTGAGTCCCTGTCTGACCCAATTAGATGACCGAATGAGGTAGAGGTCTCAAAAGCTTAGCAAAGTGACCACGGTGGTTACTGACGGTTTTGAGCCCAGAGGCTTAAATTAACATTTAATTAAAAATTACAATTTTTTCCCAAACTGTGTTTACTCACACAGTTAGAGGTTATGAACAAAGAGGAACCCACATATTGCTAGTCAAATCATAAATACCATATGTTCAGTAAAAACTTGACAAAGTTTTTTTTATAGAAATTCAATCAATAAACACACTTACACATGTGAGAACCCATGCACAGATAAAGGTTTTCATTACAACATGCTACGTAATAGCAAGAGACTGAGAATTGTGTGGCTACCCACAGAACGAGACTGAATAAATTGTGAAATAAAATAAAATTTAATGTTACTCAAAATCACAATATGGTGATTGTAAAAGGTGCTCCCTTCAAAGTGAGTCCAGCCCCTCACCTGGCAAGAGTCGGCTGGACTTATTGCCACGTCCCATGTGGCACCGATCACCACAGGTAGCAGTCGGTGTGGCTTTCCCAAGAGTAGATGTTAAAGGCGTTACAGCACTGGGCGGAAAGCGTGCATGGGACTATGGTGATGGCACGTGAGTGAACCGGTGGTGGGAAGTCCACAAGGATTATAACCGAGGAAAAATGGACAAAATGAAGAATGATGCAAAAATAAAATATCTTTGTAAAAAGGCATTAGTTTCCTTCCTTCCACCTTCTCTTAGTTGACTCCTTGTGAACCAAAAATCAAGATAAGGAAAATTGACAAGAAGAAGCGTTAAGTGTTTGCAAAAGAAAGAAAAATATGTTTTGAATTACCGTTACTTGGCAATCTCTCCTCGATCCTTGAATATTCTATTCCATGTACCCAACATAAACCACAATGTTAATGAAAATGATAGCACTAGCGAATACTCATTTAGCAAATGTCCTGATTTTCTTTGCATAAATGGTTGCGTACAACCCTCAATAACCACAGGTTACTTTCTCCTACTGGCCTGACTTCCAGATGAGGAAATTAAACTTCAGCAAGGCCCAGTAGCCTGCCTGAGCCTCACAGCTGATAAGAAGCAAAGCCACTACCTGCCCTTTAGACTCTACAACCAGAACTTTTGATCACTACTCTGTATTCCACGCTATCATGGTCCATATCTTACCTCAGCTTAGCTACATGCAAAGCGGTAGCTTTATCAAATGGTGTCCGGGTCATTAACCAAGTACTTAGAACGTGCGCAGCACCGGGGCAAACCCTCCCATGCCTTGTTTCATTTTGTCCTCACAACCACCTTGCAAGCAGCGACTGCCATTACCCCATTTTACAGATAAGCTAATTGAGCCCCATAAGGGCTGGGTGACCCAAGGTCCAGACTTCAAAGCCAGGCTTTCCAAGCCAGCTGAAACCAAAACTGGTGTCCACAGCAAGATGCAACTGCAAAAACTTTTAGCTTCACAAATAATAAAGGTCCCCAAAGACGTTGGGGACACAGGGCTTATGGAAAGAAAAGAAACCAAACATTCTGTATCTGTCTCCATAGCACCCGGGGATTTTAAAGTGGTTTTAGGATTCACGGCCCATATCACGGTCTTAAACCCCCTGTAGGCCAAGGAGAAAAGCTGTTGCTGCACCTCAGTCCCTTGTTTATTCATTGCTGCGTCTGGATGCCATGTCTCTGGGGAAACAAGACCTGATTGCAGCCTATTTATGCGTTCCTCAGTTATTTACTCAATTCCTATCAAGTGTCAAGCACTCTTCCTCACTTCCGGGAGCTGGTAACACAAAACAAATGCTAAAAAAATTC